CGTGACACGCTCGAATTTTTGCTCCGCCGAAAATCTGATCGATAGAAAGAGCGAATTTTAATCTTTTAGATACACGTCTCAGAAATCTTTCAGGCTAAACAAAATCCATGAAGACTGAGACGCATAAAGATTCTTGAGAACAACGAACACTTGAATTATTTAGAATCTAAAGTCTGCTAGATATAAAAAAAGGATGAACAAAGGTACCGACATTATGGGTTGATTATTATTCATCCGAGAAAAGTAAGTTTTTAATTTTTTTAAATGTATAATAAATTTATATAAAAATGATTAATTACAAATGGTAAAAAGATATTAAAAACATATTTTTACTAAAAATAAATTTATTAAAAATTTATTAAAAATATATTATAAAAACGTGTTTTTTTACCACTCGCACACGCAGACAACGGAAAAAAATAGCTGGACATTTCGTAGTCTTGTTCGATCTTGTTAAAGTTAAACGGAGAATTATACACCCTTTTTCTCATCACGATTGAGACACGGTCGCAGCGCGGTCCTCGCCGGGATCACGACGGGATCCCCGGCAAGATAAGAAAGCGGCCATTGGACTAATGCCGTCGCCGTGGCGTATTGCGTCTCGCTTTTACGCGGATGATTAAATTCTATATCGAAAATGAATCGTTGAATTATTGACTAGTTTAGTGTGCGTTTTGTGTAACCGGCATTCGCCCTTGTTTAAGCAACGCTTTATTATATATTTAACCGCAACAAATTCATACTCGCCTCCCTTTTCCGCCGGCGATATTACGATAATTTAATTATTGTAATATTATCGAACTCTATCGCGACTGCGCATTAGTAATGACGTACAAATAATTCCGCCACCACCGCTGCCGTTACAATATATGCGCGGCGTGTGTAGGGCAAAATAGCTTAATTCGTTCGCACCGGTGCGGCCTTTGTTATTTCCTCGAATAATATTACGGCTCGTTTGTAAATTCAATACGTCGACTTTTTAACTCCTCGCCGACTGTGTGTCGAGTGCCATCGATCGCGGCTCGTTTCCCGGCGTTCAACAATCATCGCCGTTATGGCCGCCCATCCGCATGGGTATCGTGCCCCCGTCCGCCCTCCCCCTCCCCCTCACTCCCCCCCCCCGGACGCGGCCCCTTCCCGTAACTTACACCTTTCCAATTGCGTAATTCTAAAGAGATCTACTTTGCGCGATATCGCGCGAGAGGGAAAAATTCAACGTCGCTATATATCATTTAACGCGATAATTATTTCTTTTAAACATTGAACTTAACAGCGCCCGTCTTAAAGTCTGAGCAACAAATTAACTCGTTTTCTTCGCGAGAAAAATGTAATTGATATGAAGATAATGCTAAACCAACAACTTATTTTTCTCAGCTGGATATTGATCATTTCATCTTATCAACGCCTCTTTTTCTAACTCTATATAATGTTTTGCAGTGAAATTATTTTTTAAGCGGAATTCTTACAGAGGATTTTGAAAGATTCTCATTTAATTCCAATTTTTAATTGAGAAAAGATTAAGAAAGTATTTTGTTCCGGGTATAACGCGATTTTTTGACAGTGTTTTAATTTTACAAAGCGTTAGAATAATTGATGCAATTGGTCGACTCGTCGATGTTTCTTTTTTTTTTTGTTACTTAGACGCGGTCTAGAGTAATAACTCGGGAAATTTCGAGCATTTCGAAAAGGAACGCGGTGTCCATTGCACAGGTGTCGCGTCGCGGGACGTTGAGCGTGGCGGAAATTGTCAGCGGCAAAATTACGGGCGACGGTCGATTCATCGACGTCGAAACAATAACAATCGGCGTTTGCCCGACGATGCGGTAATTAAAATAAAATTAATTGGATTGCCCGCGCGCGCACTCGCGGCCGAATCTTTCGAAGGAGATGACTGCACAGCCGTAGGGGTGTTTTGTGCGTTATTGCATATAATGCACTGTTTATTTTGCACTCTCTCTCTCTCTCTCTCCCTCGCCGCTCATTCCCACCCCCTTCTCCCGTGCTTTCCGATCCTCCTTTCGGAACAAGTATATATTATACATGAATACGTAGGCATATGTACATGTTATGCGTACGGGCAATCCGCTTCTCCTCTCTTCACCCCTCGGGACCGCGAGCCTCCCCGGAACTCTCGATACGTATTTACGCGATCTTTATATAACAATTTTGATCAGTTTACGAGAAAATATCTGTTCAGTGTGCATCAAAAATACGAAAGAGAGCGTTGAATGTACGAGCCTTGTAATTATCAAGATTTGTTTTGTCAACACGATGGGAAATGGGATAGTTACATGCGAATTTCCTGACGGGTAAACCTCGAAGTTTCCGTAACGGTAGGAGTGGTATAGGACAATAATTATCCCTCGCGGCCGATCGTGATTACCTCCGCTTTAAATAGCGGTCGGGGGACTTGACGATTCCTACGGATCGGCTGTCGGAGTCCTCGACGTGCGGCTCGAGGAACCCCCGTGCGCAATAAATCGATCGCGATAATTCATTGATGTGTATGCGTGCTCCCGTGGTTTAGCCGCGCGACGCGCAAGCAAGCAATCAATCAATCCGTCCCCCGCGAAGTTTACGTCTTCGGAGTGTCTCCGTGAACCTTCCATTAAATTTTCACCGGGAATTGTCCTGATTTTCGACTCGTCCCCCTTCTCCCCTTTCTTCGGCGAGCTTCCCTTCCTCGGGAGAACTCCCGCGGAGACGTGACGCGGCCGGAGTCCGACGGCCGAGGATCAGACTGATTCTCGAGTTCCACTTCGACTTTGTTCGATGCCCGGGATTCCCACGGGATATTCTCCGGCCATCCGCGCGAGAAAGCTCCCCCGTCGTACCACGAGGAAAATCGGCGAGAGCCGTCGTCCGTCGTTTCGATAGTGTATTTCCGTTCGACGTCAAAATACTCCGCGGAATGCCGGCAATACCGCGGCGTTAACGGCGGCAGATGCCCGTTTCTCAGCCGCCGAGAAACGAAATACCACGGTACCCTTCCGGCCCGTGCCCTTTACACGTTGCCCGATTCATTCGGCGTTAAAAACTTTACGGCGCGCTCTCTCGCGCAAAACCGCCTCGCTTTGACCGTCGGCGAAACGCAAACCTGCAAACAAGCGCGTACAAAAGCCGCCGGATATTAATTTCGACCGGCGCAACATACGTATTTTCCTTCGGTTTTTACAAGTTGTTAACCCGTTTTTTTTTTTCGCCTAACGCATATCGGGGCCAAGCTCGGATAAGCGATTTTCGTCGAATATCGAAAGCTCGAGCCGCAACTTTTATTCGTTCAACCACAGAGAACGTTAGTGAAAAATAAAATGAATTTTTGCGCCTTAAGCTATAATCTATAGAAGTAATAGTACCGGTTAACATTGCAATATAACTATATATGCCCAAATGTACATGTTTCGAATGTGACAGTATTTGAAATAGGGGATTGAAATATTATTTTCATGACTTTTCGACCAGAGCGCTCGGAAGTATTTCGCGGTCGAGCGATTCGGATGTTTCGAACTTTAATCTTAAGCTGCTCGGATCTTTCGGGTCTGACGGCGTAAACGCGTCTAGAAAGACGGCAGAGAGAGAGAGAGAGTGTCTATAAAGCTTTTTTCGGCGCCGAGAAACGATCTCGGCACTTCCGCCGAGATCGCGGAATCGCGAGGCCGCGACGGCGCGGCGCGGCGCGGCGCGGTGCGGCGCGACTTTGCCGCATTCGAAATACGATTTATTTGTTCGTCATCCGTGCACGAGCGGGGCTCCCAAATCCAATAATGATTTGAACACCGGGCGGGCCGGTACGATCGTATGGTTTCGCGTTATTTCGGTCGCGCGCGGCGGCGGTATCGCGCGCGCGCCCCCCGTAATTTTATAAACACTTTGAAAATCTTGCGTCACCGGCGGGCTTCGCGCGTTCGAGATTGCCTGCCTGTCGTTCCTAGGGCTTCGTCTGCGCCGGCAGTAAAATAATTACAAAATCGTACGCGAAACGAAACGAGGATAAATCGAGGCTGCGCGGCTCCCCTCGCCTCATCGGTCCCCCCGCTCGGTATTTTTTCAGCTTCAGGAAGCCGTCCGCGTTTCTCTCGAGGAGCCCTCCTGTGTCCCTTCGCGCAGTCTTCCAAGGGCCCTATACAAATTCGAACCGGCCATTTTCGAGTGTTTGCCCCCTCTCCTTTTTCTCTCACTTCGAATCCGGATCACATCCGAGCGGATTTGTTTCAAAAGAAGTCCCATTGGAAGGTACAATAGGCTACGTTTGGATCCTCAATTGTTGCCCGTAATAATATTATCGTAAATTCATAATTACGTGCATGTTTTTTTTTTTATTAAGGGTATATCAAGCGGATCTGAATCATTGACATAAAGAGGATATATATCTAAATCATAGGTAGCTCTCTACTCTACGTATATATACGTATTGTGTGAATCTGTCTCTGTTGCATGAATATATGTTTGCATATATCTCTGTATAAACGTATCTAGATGTTCAATTGGATTGCCGCGTGCGTAATATCAAGAATGCAAAGTTCACGTACTCGCACGGCGGTTATGTCAAAATTGCAAACGCGTGGTATTTTACATCGACATTAACATCTCCGTTGCACCGGCAACGGCACATTTCAAGTCTCAAAAGTCTGAATACATACGTTGAATTAGCCAAGTGGACACGCGCAAAAAGATATGAGTCCCCGCTACCGCATCCCTTAGCAAAACTTAACCGCGTAATATTATAATTTAAAAAATTATGCCGTAAGATCGTTTTAATCTACATTCGCTGAAACATGGCGGAACCGGAGACCCAAACCGAGGATGAGACGGTAACCAGCGAAATCTCGGGGGAGGCTAAGACGGAGACCGACACCGATGTAACGGAAGTCGCGACGATCGAGAGCGGTGATGAAATATCTACCAAATACAGCGATTACGAAAGCGAAATGAAGCTTAGGAAGGAGAGATTTTGGATTGACAAGGGGTGGGCTTATGAAATGAAACTACAAGGGACACGCGAGACTCCTCTTGCTCAATCGCGAACGTTATCTTGCATCTAGACAGACTGATGAACGAAGCATCGCGCAGATACGCGGAATTGCGGTTGAAGCCTGAGCAGGAGATAGCGTTGGACGTTGCGAGACTACCTGACGCGGAAGCCGTCGAGACGACACTTCCGCTTCGCGAGTATCTTCCGCTCGGCGGTTTCCAGCTTGAGCATCAGACTAGGACGACCGTTGGACCAGATCGACGCAGGAGAACGCGAATCTGGAGAAGCATGAGAGGGAAACAGCCGGTTAGAAACGGCGCAGTTACAATTGCGCTCGAATTATTCCCCATTTAACTTGATTCACGTATTTCTGATGATGTTTCTTCATCATATCTCTGCGAAAGTAAAGTCTCAGTAAGATATGTGTAACGATTGTGCGAAGACCGTGCGTTGTTCACCTTATTTATTTATTTCTCTGCGGATGCGCGCACGATGTCCCTTGCAATACGAATTTACGATATTTTCGATAGACTAGGATATTTCGGAGGAAACCGAAAGAAGGATGGAAAAGGCGCAGGGATGTTTTTCCCCGCGACCCGCCGGACGAGGAGTTTCTTCTGCGCGAGCAGAAGAGCGACTTCGCTAATCGCAAGGAGCTGGGCCATGCACGCGCGCCCATATCGCGTCCGGAATCGAAGCAGAAGTTAATGGTAGATCGCTCGGCTGGCAAACGTCTCGGTTTGGTAGACGGTGAATATGTCATCCTGGAGCTGCCGTTCGATCGTGTCTACGCCAATGTGGTTCTTCACGGGCAAAAGGGTATGCATGCACGAGAGATGTACCCGTCTCGAGAGCGCAGGAACACTTGGAAGTTCTGTTTCTACCAAGCGATCGTGGCACTGTTAGCGAAAACTCAGCTAAGGTATCAATATGTGTCGAAGCAAGATAATTGAGACGGTAACATAAAATATTTTAATTTCTTTTCGACGCGATTTGACAATTTTTATCCTTACTTTCACTTAGTTTATTTTAAAGAATTAAATTATTTAGATTCTCTCTATCAATTCAAGATTTGCTTCTTCTACTTGAGATTTGTTTGGAGAGAAAACTCTCGTGAAGGTAAAGGAATAAGCATGTGGAATTTCCGCGTGACGTAATTGTAACATCTCGCGTTGGAAGAATGAAAATTCGGCTGTGCTGTACTTTCACGAGAGTCAGGATCCAGTCAGAGCTGTCATCTTTTTTTAGAAATAATAAAAAGTGACGTTATCCTTATGATAATGATACAATACAGATACAAATACGTATCGAGCGACAATATCGATTACATCTACGACCATGCCTGGATGCTTTACACCCACATCGGCACGATCAACGTGAAGGCGAGGCAACGGCTGGACGACGTCGTTGTGTACAACTATAAATACAGCGTCGAGATAGAGTTGATCGACAAAATGGAAGATGTCGTGGCGCGGGACTTCGACATCTTCCACAAGGAGAATGGCCTGGGGAAGAGGATTCCGTTAACCAGGAAGGATCTTCTGCGTGTCAAGGTGGAACTCGGTTGCGAGAAGGTGACGGATTCCGGATACGTGTCCGCGCACGAGAGCATGAAACACTTCGAGGAGTGGCTCCTCAAACTGATAGCGCAGTATCGCGATTGCATATTGCGCACGACCAGGTTCTCGCTGGCGTTCTGGCAGGACGGTCTTTTCTGGTACGTGTACAATCCCTATCGGTGCGACGAGTACGGGATGTGGGACGAATGGGGTTGCGGCGCCTGCATCGTGAAGTTCTGCTCCACGGACTCGTTACGGAGACACCTGATGATCCTCATGCTGAGATGCCACGCCGAGGTGGCGTACGAGCGAGATAAAGATTTCTCCGATATCGGCGAAGACGAGCTGTACGTTCGTTTCGACGTTCAGCTCTTTCACGTGACTTTCCACTGCTGTCAGCTGGACAATCTAAAGTTACTGCAACGGCGCGTGTCCAAGCAGCCGCGACGCGTCGACGACGATCCGTCGTATTCGCTCGAGATCGAGGACCTGGAGGACGAGACCGATCGTGAGGAAGAGGACGAGGAGGGCGATCAGAGAGAGCCGAGGGAGAGAGCTACGTGGCTGAGGCGTTGCCGGGTGACGACCTGGGGCAAATACGCGCCCGCGGACCGAGAGAGGCCAGACTCGGCCGAGATCACTGCCGCTGACAAAGCGAGATGGCATCAGTACTACGTGGAGGAACCCAACAGACTGTTCTCCCTGTGGGGCGACGTACACCCTACCGACGATATGTTCGACGAGGCAAACCGCGGCATGCAGGCGTACGCCTGTTACGTGGTGTGCGCCGGCATGACCATGATCACGGCGCCGGAATACTGGAGCCCGAACACCCTCGACGCGATCGTCATGTGCGGAGATCGTTATTACACGCGTAGCAAGCACGAGGCCGAGCTCAAGTCGGTCGACGACAGGTACGGTGCTGCGAGTCGCTCGTTCAAGTATCTCTCCGATCGCTTCGAGATCGGCGAGATTCTGTTCGAGGCTCGGATGCTGCCGGCCGTTCGCGGCAGATTGTACGACGAGTCGAGCGAGTGCCTGTGGAGAACGTTGGAGCGAGTGTTCTCGAGCTACAACTTCGCCGTACTGACGTGCGAGAGCGCCTGTCTGGGCCTCTTCAAGTTCTGCGGAGCGTACTACATGTGCGACGTGAACTCGTTCGGCCCGCCGCTCTTCCGATACGGCCACGGCGCCGCGTATCTGCTGAGAGCCACGTCCTTCCGGAAATTCGTGACGGTCCTGGTGTTGACCGTCGGCTCACCCGACCGCAGCCGATTCAGCCTGAATCCCATCGAGATCCTCAGAATTGTCGAAATGGACTCCGAGTCTCGTGCGAAGACGCGCGAGAGAAGACACCGTTTCCCAAAAATGCCGGGAAAATTGCCGAGATTCGCGTCCGATGGGCAAAAGAAGAGGAGAATGAAAAAGTAGAAAATCCGAACGTAATATAATCGCGTGTAACAATCGAAGATGATAATCGAGGATTCGGTTAAAAGAAGCTATAAGACCCAGTTTCACAAGTGTCGGTTAACTTTTAATCTTAGATTAACTCACTCTTTGCCTCCTTCTAACGTCTCCCTTAGAAAAAGACGAAGAGTGAGTTAATCTAAGATTAAAAGTTAACCGACACTTGTGAAACTGGTCCTAAGTGTGAAAAATAAAGAATAAAAAATAAATTTTTTAAATTCCATTTTAGACAAAATAAAATTAAGCATTATTCATATTGAAACAATTATTGATACAATTGACTCTCCTGATACAATTGACTCACGCCTTCCAAGTTCTCTTATCCTGTATTCGAAAGTTTTAAATGCGACCGTTTCAAAATTCCTAAACGATCGATGGGGCTTTAATATTTATGCGTGGAATATCGAAGCTCCGTGTAAACGTTTATATAAACGAGAATGTATTTTCCACAACAGCGAAGCGATTTCAATAAGAAAATATTGTTGTAAAACCGGGTTGCGCTCCGGGAATAAAAATAAGCGTGGAGAAAGAGTGTCGTGGGATTTAAATTTCTCGCTATCTAAATGGACACCTCGCTGCGCACTTATATGTAAATCGGAGAATCTCCAATAAAGGTATCGCATTGGAGGAAAATCGATACTGCTCTCCACGGATTAGACTGAAGGTCAAAATCAGTCGCGAAAAATTCGAGATCGATGAAGTGAAATAGATTTAGCTCGATTTAATTTCGATCTATTAATTAGATTGTGAATCAAGAAATAAAACGTGCATTTAAGTCAAAGTAACGACAAAGTAAGATGGAAGACGGACGAAATTAACTTTATAAATTAATTTTATAATCAATTTTACTCTCAAAGAGATAATTAGAGTGGAAACGAAAGGAAATTCGCAGCGACTCGGTTATTATCGCGATTTCCGAATATTCGACTAGAATATATACATGCAACGTTACATATGTATCCCGTGTAGCATCATGAGGCTACAAGATTCATTTTCCTAACGCATAAGAAGAAGATATACCTTTCGCGGATGCATCGTAACGCGCGCAAGAGGGACCAGAAACACCGCACCTCGTGTCTCGATGCAATAATTTATTTCGGTATTGTACACATTCATCGTTAGTCATATTTACAATGGTATTTACAGCGCAGTCACGTATGTACATGCCCGTACACGTCGTCGATAAGAGCGCGAAAGCACCGGGCCGTCTTCCATCGTCCTTCTCGACCTCCTCGATTTACCGATGGGCGAGACCGCCGCGTCTCGTCGTCATCACGGCCGCACTACGCTACCTCGAGGTCGGAGCTGTCCGTGTCCTGCTCGAGCTTCTGCTGATGCTGCTGCTGCTGTTGCTGCTGCCTGGTTAGCCCCAGACGATCGCCTACCATCACCGTCGTCGCAGCCCCGCCGTCGTCGGTGCGCTGACGCTGCTCCAGCTGCAGCTTCCGGATGCGGTCCTGCTCCTCCCGCTTCTGCTTCCGCCACTTGGCGCGACGATTCTTGAACCATACCTGAAATGACAATTCAACGTGCCGTTCAGAGAGACTCGTGTAAATTGACCGTTCATTCGGCGAAATTAAAGTCCAGCGATTCTCTTTCAGACGATTAAAAACGTATAACATTTTCACTTTTTGTTTAGACACGGCTGATTTCTACAAACTTTATCTTTAAATTAGTAAGGAGACGAGAAAAATTAAATATTGCGAGAAGCCGCGTTATATATATTGTTTAGAATTCGATTGTAATTCGAGCAAGAGTATTATAGGGAGTAGATGGAAGATCAAGTTGCTTGAAACCAACATTACCAAATGAAGGATTAAATAGGATTTATTATGTCTGCGGGTAAAAGTGTAGTTAGATTGATGTAAAAGGTTTTTTTTCAATCAAGCTTTGCATTAAATAAAACTAGAATCCCTTTCTAAAAAAGGCATGGATAGTTTATTGTTGCCTCTTTTCCGCGATGCCGATTGGTTTTCTTGCTGCGCTTACTTCATTTGTAGCTGTCATTGTATATTTTGACAGTTGTGTATATAATAGGGTTAATAGTGAAATGTTTTGTGTATATAATAGGGTTAATAGTGAAATGTTAAAGATAAATAGCGCGCGCGTAGCGCGCGTTTGTAGTGTCTAGTTTTTTAAAAAGAGGATTGAAAAATTTCTCTCGAGATAAAAAAAAGTGTATACTGGCCCATGGCGGTAAATTTGTTTCGTTTTTTGCTCAAAATTTATTTTCAACTTTATTTGTTATAATATGTAACAAACTTTTTGCACCAATCTAATGAAAAATAATTAATAAAGTTTATTGATGCTTATTTTTACAGTCACAGAACAAATTATAAGAGATATCTATATCTATAAATAAATATATAAATATAATTACGTTTTTTTTTTTTTAAAAATGAAACGATGCGATAACTTCAATTTTAAATTAATTGAAGTGATCGTTTATCAAAGACCAGTCTTTGAGCGATACAAATATAGTTGAGAAATATATATAATGCTTTCTAAATCGTGTGATTACACGAGACACATCAACACGCGTGCTGCAAGATATCATTTAACGAAGTAAGAAAAGACGCGTGAGAGACATCAAACGAATATTCCCGCCGTACTCGCGGGACACGCATTTGTCCCTCACGCCTGTCTGAATCAATCCGAATGAAAACCGACAATCAATATTCAACCCCCTACTCGCTCGTTCGTTTTGCTGCATTAGCCATTGTAATAGCTTAACCCTCGTTCACTTTGAAGAGTTCTCTCAGCTCGAGGACGCCGGATCCCGCGAGATGCGAAATTAAATCGCGTGACGATCGCGTGACGATCGCGCTACACGGTGGATCAAGACGCCTTGTTGACGCATAATTTTAATGACACCGGTGTCATGAGCGTTATAATTGATCAATCAGTGTTGCGCACGCTGATTTTTTTTTCCTCCGAACAAAGTGTGGGAGCACCGATAATTTCCGAGCTGTTGTTTTTCCTTGCTTCGGGATCCTCGGGATCCCAAGTCGAGTCGACGTGATCTTGGAAGCACACAAAACAGTGCCTTAGGTTTCTCACTCCCCCCCGCCCTCCTCCCCTTTCCTTCCTTCCCGCGGGTCGACCTGTTTCTAGCTCTTTCTTTGTCCTCTCTCCCCGTGCTCCCTCCATCGGGCGCACCAAGAGTCGCTATTCTACTAATTCTGTGCAAACACCGTGGACTCTCGCTCCGAGAGGCGGCCCCGGGTACCAGACACGCAGGTATATGTTGTTCCCGTCTTTAAACAACTCTCGAGACTCCGGGGACCTTTCTTTGGCAAAGCCGACGCGACGCGGGTGGTCCCACGCGAGTGTCAATGATTCTCAGAGTCCGTGATCGCTCGACGGAATTGTCGTCGGTCCAGGGATTTCGTTTCGGGTGTCGAACGAATTTTACGCAACTCGCTTGCAATCTCCATCCTCGCGATTCCGTGTTTTCGAGACCATCCGAGATATGGATACTTTACTTTTAGAGTAATCGCCCGAGACTTAAGTCTATTAATTGGGCACTATTCATTTGAGCGTTGAAAGTCGGCTCTAACATATTTTAATATACGAGAAATCACTAATGACGATTTGATAACTCTTCAAATTGATAGAAAGCGAACGCGTTGAAGTGTACAAAACTGTATAAAAGGATCCTGCTTTCAGTCGCGATGCTGTGTAAAAATCACAGAAATCACAATATGTCGCTCGTCGCCAGATTGAGAAGCTAGATCGTTAATTACTGGAAAAATAACGCTCGATCGACGACACAATGAGGTTATTGAAAGGTAAATTTATACGAAATTAACGCTACGCGGAAACCGCGCGTTCTCTCTCTCTCTCTCTCTCTCTCTCTCTCTTGTCTGCGGAGAGTACACCACTTTAGAGATTATAATTTGCATGACGCGCGTATACGCGCTATCCGGCACGCGTGTGCGTGCGAACGAGAGCGCGCGCGCGCGCGAGCGTATGTATAATTGAAGTAAACACATTATCGCTAAAGCTTTTAATCTAGCATGCAACTTGTTAGCTCAAGTCGACCGAGGCCCCGATAAATACCCACCGCGGTAAATTTTAATGACCGCGTTAAAATATTATGGGCTTTTATGCATTAGGACGACAAACACAGGCCGTTCCATCCCACTCAGGAACGGCGGCGGCGGCGGCGACGGCGCGTAGTTTGCCGACATTACATTACAAATTGTGCGTGCGGACCCGGGCCATCCGGACGGTCAATGTTTGTCGATCCGAAATCCAATATTCCGTTCACGGCTCGAGAAAGTAATTTGTCATCGGCAGGCGGCTTAAGCCCGTCGCCTCTGCGCGATGTAACTTCGCTGCCGTTTGGTATCTCGAAACGGTAGCCGGTCTTCTCGGTTTTTAGAAACCGACCGTGGACGAACGGAAGTCCGTAATTGTCAACACACGCTATTTTCTCTTTCTTATCGTTCTGCTGTTCCGGCTAAACCGGCGTTTCGCAACGTGGTCGATCTCGTTTCGCGATCGACGCGACGGGAGGAACGTCCTCGACTGTGATTTTAACGACTAGACACGACTCTCGCTTCAATTCGGGTGTATTTTAATTTTTTGAACTTGAAATTTAATTGTAAAACGATTAACGTGATACTAATGAACCGTGATGACTTATCAATGTCGCGTAAAATTGATTCTTCGTCGAAGAATTAGTCATTAAAACAAAGAGAATTCAAACGAGAATAATAGACTGTAAGATTCGACTAACCTCGATCCTTTCTTCCTTGAGGTCGACCTGGAGGGCCAGCTGTTCCCGCAGGAGCACGTCGGGATAATGTGTCTTGTCGAAGGTGGCTTCCAATTGTTCCAGTTGCTCCTCCGTGAAGATCGTTCGATGACGACGTTTCCTCTTCGCCATCGGACCCATTCCCGGATTGTTGGGATTTATCTGGTAGGGATGACCGGTGTGATAGAAGGCCGGCTGTCCGTGAAGGGAAACGCCGGCGGCGGCCATCGCCGCCACGTATCCTCCGGGATACAATCCCGGATATGCCGCGGCTGAAATTCGAAAATGACAAACATAGGATGATAAAAGCTCGCCCCGGCTATTTTGAAAATTCGCTACGAGTTCCATCGAGCTACATCCCGAGCCCGTCCGAAATGACAATAAAGATTATCCGCGCGGCGGCCGCAAACGCGGCCATTTGAACTTTGCGCCGGCATTAAAGATTCAAACGTCCATTCTCGCGGTCGCGATTATAACATTTGGGGGAGGACCTGGGGATCGATTGTGCGACGAGCGATAATTGTAACAATCGCGGTAATTCCGCCACTAAATCGACGGGATTGACAAAAGGATTACATCCTTTGCGGTAGCAAAGGCCAATCCCGATAACCCGCGATCGGCGATCGGCGTTTCCAATGGTTTTCTCGGATCGGAGAGTTAACGGATGGACGGTCGGAGGCCCGAGGAACGTCGCGATACTATACGAATATTACGAATACTCGCGGACCCCATTCACACCGCATGCGCTCGGGATAAAGAGGTCGCCCGGCGCCCCCGTCCCGGGGGACGTTTTACTTTAAAATCTCGAAGAAAGCTGCTTAAACGCGACGTTGCGTATGAAAATGCGGGGACGGTAAAAATTTCTTGCTTTTACCCCGGGTCTCTCTCTCTCTCCCTCTCGCCCGTTCTCTCGCGCGCGTTTGCATGCCTTCCTTTTCACGGTTCTCCGTCTTCTAGCGGGATTGCGGAAGGAGCTAGATCGTTCATGCATGATCGAAACGGATTGCGGATTTCATCTCGCGTATCCCCAATGCGAGAGAGCGCGCAAGTTTCCTTGAGGGAAAAATACCTAAAGCTCCCTGCGGGCGTGAAAGAAATTTTGGCGTGTTTCGCACCGGAGCGGGAGCTCTCTTAGGATTTCGCGCGGGGTCTTACAATTTTTGCATTGTAAAGTGTTAAACGTCTCTCTGTTGGAACGAAATACGTTTACCGAGCCACAGAAAATTGACGAAATGCGAACGAATTAGATTCTTTACTTTGTAGAAGCGAATGAGATGAGATAATAGGAGCGTAGCCTGCGGGAAATAAGAGGTCGGCGGCGTTGACAGAAAGAAAAACCCTGAGCGCGGATTGAAGTTCCACAACTTTTATAATTATTTATTCATTGTGATAACGAGTTCAAAACTGAAGATACTAAGTGTCATATACTGATTTAAACTAGATACGAAACGCGATCTATTAATGGCAGTGTAAAATTTAAAGCACGAGCGTTCAAAATGTTCGCAAAACAAGAATTTCACTATCGTGCGCGCTTAAGAATTCTATGCGCGAACTGATAAAGGAATATAGTTAAAATATATATATAATCCGCGTGAATCGGACAAAACGAACGATATTTCACGCATCATAGATGCGAAATAGAATCGAATAATCGCTCTAATGCGCGTTTTAACGTTTTATAACTTGCCAAATTTTTTCCCTCGCGTTTTAGAGTTAATAAATAATATTTTTTTTCAATTTCACATATCGTTTCCGTGCCGGGAGAATAATTTACCAATTTATTTGCGGAATGTGAAAGAACGTGGAGATTGGACTCTGTCGCCGAGTTTTCGATTTATTATGAACGCTGCGAAATTGACGGCCGGCATTCTGAACATTATCGACATTCTCATTCGTATTGCGAAAAAGATTGCAAAGAACGATATATTGCGCCGATGTCGCTTGATAAAACTGTAATGTAATCGAATAAATGCAATTAACATTTCCACGCGGCACAGCGTAAATTAATCGTTCGACCTCGCGTAATTGTTCAATACGAGCGATCCCGAACGCTTCATTTGCCGGAGCGTGTTATCATTACTACCGGTCTCTCGACGCAACGCGGAAACTCCATTTACCGCTGACTTGTCACACGTAGGAGTTTAACGTATAATGTATAATCCAACAATACGAAACTTAATTCGTTAACGACTATGGGGATCGCGAATTGTGCGAGCTCCACTTAAGATATACATGATTATAAACGGTATATAAGAGATGCGCTTATGGGATTCCAGAGAGACTTCAATGGAGCGACGTTAATTATAATTTCATGCATAGGAGAACCCGAATGACAGAAGTTCAAGCTCAAAGTGTAAAAGGGCGTCCGTAGAAGAAGTCTAAAGGATTAGGGCGTCTTTTAAGGCGCCGCGGCCCCTTTGACAGACTTGCGGAGAGAGAGAAGAGTCACGCCGATCCTCCGGAGGGGGCGGCGGCGACAGTGCTGTATACCCACCGAGAAAATCCGCCGAGGTGAACGCCAAGTGGTGCAGCTGCTGCTGAAGCGGATGCATCGCCGCGGCGGTGGTGCGTCCGGCCGCCGACTCGATCGTCTCCGGCGTCTGAATCACGGATGCGGCGACGGTGGTGGTGCTCGTGGGAGCGACGACGTTGCCGATCGGCCGCGGCGCCAGGATGCTGTCGATGGTGAAGAGCGAGGTGGGGGACGACATGGTGGAGGCGGAGGTGCCGCCGGTCGCGGGTCTCGAGGGGACGACCGGTTCGCCGTGGCGGTGATGCCGCGGCATCGTCTCCTCCGTGCCGATCGGGCTCCTGGCGAACGCGCGCTCGTGCCCGCCATCGGCCCCCGTCTCGTTCTGATTGTTATTGTTGCGCCTCGTCACCGCCGATACGTGATTCTGCGCGTCCGGCGAGTAGCTGTACAGATATCTGTGGCCGTAGCCGGATATCCCGGGACCATCCGAGTGCAGCGGACTCGACGGCTCCGTCATGGGCGAGCGGGATCTCGGCGAGTCGCTCGCATAAATGCTCTCTACCATGTTACGTAACGGCCGGGGGGGCACGAACTCGCGGGTGTATACAAGTGGTATCGGCGACAAGATGCGCGTCGCGCGAGTCTCCAGACCCTCGAGAGATGCGAAAACGAAGGATGCGCCTCGTTCTATCCTCGTTCCCCGGCGACGTTACGTTCTCGCACGCATCGTAAAACGCGATTCCCGATCTTCTCGCGAATTTCAAGCACCGCGCGCGAACTTTGATCGATGGGGGATCGCTGCCTCTGTTCTATCTCGTTTTCTTTTTTTGTTTTGTTTTGTTTTAAGTTCGCGCGAGATCCTGTTCCGGATTCTGGTGCGGATATACGAGGCTCTCCCGCCTCGCAGAGACGATCGCTCACCGACGTCGAGGCATCGAGATGGGAAAGGCGCGCGAATCCGATCTCCACCGGCGGGAGATCCGTGCCTGGACCTTATTACCCCCCGCTCGCCGTCGCGCCGACCGCACTTTATCCACTTCGGACCGGCCGTCGAGCCGCCGTCGCGGGGCGCCTAGCCTAGCGTCGTGCGTCGCGGACACGGGACTGACATCTCCCCGATAAAGGATATACGTGGACTAGCCATAACGGTGGCCGCCGCGATGCCGCGATGCCGCGTGGACGCGGTGCGCCGCTATCTTCCTACCCTACCCGTGCCGCTCCGTTCCTCGCGCGCGCACAGCCGACAAAGCCACCCCCGTGGGCCCCCGTGAGCCGCGCCAGCCGCGTCGGTGGCGGACAGAGGGACACCCTCGGGTGCCGCGTCGGGTTGGCGTGCGTTGTCCGCGATCGGGGCGTGGCCCTATCTGGCTCCGTCCACTTTTCCACCACCCGGCCCGCGCGCTCTCTCGCCGCGATGTAGCTCCCTCGCATCTCCCTTCCCCGCGCGTTACGAAATGCGGGCGCGAGGGAGGGCGAGAGAGAGGGCGAAGCGGAGGGTCGTCGACGACGACGACGACGACGACGACGACGAGGACGAGGACGATGAGGACGACGAGGACGAGGTTCTCTCGCGCGGAGGGTGCGATCGCGTCGCGACGCTCAGGGGTGGGGGAAGCGCACCCCTTTCGGATGCCGCGCCGCGGCAACAGACACACGCGAGGCAACGCTCGCCTGTGTCGGGAGAGGGTGGTCGCGAAATAACCCTCTAACGGAGAGAGAGAGAGAGAGAGAGAGAGAGAGAGAGGAGGCATCGCGGAAGCGAACGACATATTTGTCGATGCATATTACGAAGGTTACCGAACCTCTCGCCCCCTCGTTGCCGTCGTTCGAGCACGCGATCGAATCGAGGAGCTTATTTTTGCAAACCGTCTTAAATCCGTACTTTTCGAAAATGGAGACGGGGCGTTAGAAAGCATTCCAACGACTTCAATATGTAATCTTTATTCATAAAAAAAGTATTTAGATATTTTGAAAGAGATTCTGATTTAACTTTTGTGAGATTTATAAGACACTCTTAAAATTTACAGCCAATGAAATTATAATTTATTGCAATCAATAAAATCATTGAGAAATCATTGTAAATGATTTGAAATCTTTCATATTACCTTTGTAATGCCCAGATATCAAACTAAATTTTATTAAAGTAAAGCCCATGGGAAAAAACTGGAAGCATGGTCCGATTAACGTAAAAGATTTGTCATCTTTTTATCAAACAGAGTTGAAAACGAAATTTCAACAAAATCGAAGCAAGTTTACCGCCACGGGCTTCAATGTAGTACTCTCTTTTTTTTTATTTAGAGAGAAATTTTTTAATCCCCTTTTAAAAAAAAACTTTAGTTTTTAATTTTATTTGATGTACAAAGTTTGATCTTTTGCATCTACCTGACAAATCTCTGTTATCCATTTTTGCTTCCCTTAAATTTAATTCGCAAAGAGCCCTGCTTTTTCATACACTACCAGCAAAAATGGCGGTTTGATATTTTTGCTATAAATCTTTCTTTAACGGGAAATTTATTATCAAAGAATTAAGATCGTAGGTGTTGGATTATAATGCACGTTTACATAATTTTATTATAATCTTGATGATCGTATGATATTATAACAAAATGACCCCTCTGTCAATGCATTTGGTTATTATCGTCTCAATGTGCACCATTCTTCGTTCCGCCTTACTCGCAGCTTGCGTTTAGAATATCAATAATCAGCTAATCTTATGGGTATGAGCTAAGATTAGAAATTTGCGACCAGTAATCTTAAATAATCGAATCGATTTGTCGACGTTATGGGATCAAATAGCGAGCGCAAACGCCAATCCGAACGCGATGAACCCCACGCGGAAACTCAGGCGTCGGTAGATCTGGATTATGGCGGTTGCGCGCGACCAGAGAGGGAGAGAGAGAGAGAGAGAAAGAGAGGGGGAGAAAAGGAGAGAGAACAATACCTACCTATCTAGCGAATCCGCGCGGATCTGTTCAATTATTCAAATCCCGGCCAATGCATCCGTATTAATAACATAAAACCGTTGTAATGTGCATTGACTGTCGTCTCCCCCCATCTCGTAGCGAGCGAGCGAGCGAGGGCACCAGGAGGGACCGCGGCATCGTGATACACGAAGAATCGAGCGTGAAAAACGTTTTCTCTCTTCTCCCCCTCCCCTCTCTCTCTGCCTTTCTTTTTCTCGTGAGGGGCGCGCACGTATCCCGATATTATACATATAGGTACCCCGCGCGCGCGGCCATCCGTGTCTACCCCTCGCGACGAGCCCCTCCTTTCGACCCTCCTGGCCGAGGTATCCGGCCTCTCCCCGATGCTGCGGTCCGCCCGGGCGCAGCAAGATCCACGCCGGAGCTTAATCCTAATCCGTACGTTAATCGTACGCCCGATCCCGGCGAGCCGGATCCCACATTCTGCGCGATTCGTGTACGCGTATTATGTCCACCTATCCGCCTGTCTACCTACTTACCTACCTACCCGGTTTAGGTCCGTTGTCGAAACCAGAAGAGAACGGCAGACAGCTTGTCTCGCGCGCGCGCACGCACGCACGCACGCACGCGAGGATCCGCGGAAGAGAATTCTCGAGGAAGGAGGGCCCTGCATGCTTTCTCCCTTCTTGCAGCGGACACGGCCATTGTTCGCCGGTACGTCGTGAATTTTATTAGAAACGAACTGGGAACCGGCCATCGCTAATATATCTCTTGATCTGCCGATGGTCTTTTTGCGATTGCTCGATCCGCGCCCGGCGCTCCGCTCTCGCGTTCGGACCGTTCCCCCGAGAGAGCGAGAAATGGCGAACGGTGAAGCTGGACGAGTTTACTATTTCGAAATCGGTATACAAGTCCGGCTTTCAAATATCATGAATTGTAAATGAGATGTCGCTTCTCTTTCCGGAGAGAGAGAGAGAGAGAGAGAGGTAACAAAATTAAATAAGTTTACTTTGACCGCGGTCAGCGGGATGGACCGGAGGGGGGAGGGCACGTGCGGGGTAAGTCGCACCGTCTCGAATGCGCAATGAATCTCAATTGAGCGCGCGCGCGCGGCGAAAAAGAGACGTAAACTGAAAGAGAGATGTAAAATATCGCATCCTTCTCGCATATGTCGTTCGTTTAGCGATTCACACGAATCCTTCGAAGACAGCGCCGAGAGTTCGTCTCCCTCTCTCTCTCTCTCTCTCGTTCTCCCGGCAAAACCTCTCTCGCCGTAAGGAGCGCTCCCGGCGGGGCGGCTGCGGCTTCCACGAAAAAGATTACAATTTTCCCCGGCAATCACGGGGGGATGAATCCTCGGCGCTAATGCAGCGACAATACAGATGTTTTCGCGTCTAAGCGGCGTGCTAAGTGGATCTCGCCCTCTTCCCCCCCCCTCTTCCCGCTTTTCCCTCCCTGTCTCTCGCTCTCGCGCTCGCTCTCGCTCGCGCGCCCTTTCGTTCCTCGTGAGGGCGAGAACACGCTGGAAAAAGCAGCCGCGTCGATATTCTTAAAGGCGTAGCCGCGGGGTGTCGGGCGGGCCGATACCTGATCTTCTCCACAGCTTCCGAAGTCTCTTCCCGGCATCTCTCGCTTGGACTCGACACGGTCTCTCGGTTACATTTGACTGCATGCCTTCCTGCCTTCCCGAATAATTGGAGCAGAGCTACGATAGGACGCGGCCGATCACGCTGTTCGTCGTGAAATATTCAGACGCGCCATTTTCCCCCGGCGCGCGGCGCGGCGGGGCGAAGGGAGGACTTTCGTATCCCGGTGAGACGTACCTTCTTATTGATAGGTATCGTTCTCGCCGAGACGAAGAACGGCGTGACGTTGTTGACGTCTCCGGCCTAAGATATTGTTCGGTTCGCATTCTGAATGATTATTCCGGGCCTGCTGGTCGATTCTTTCGGAATTTCACGCTCGTTTACTTCTTATGCTCTCGAGAAAGTGACGAGCATTGAAATGGAAGGCAATTATCGGCCGTGAAACGTTCGATTCGACCCTTGACTCTCAATAAATGAGGGACGTCCTAAATCGTCTAGCTTTAAAGTATATTATATCTATATATGTAAAAAAGTATATAATTGCACGTTACATAAATTGTACATTTTTTTTTTACAAACAATTATATTTTCTTTGCACCAGAGTTGATTGAAATTGAATCAAATCGAATTGTATGATTTCGTTTAAGAAATGTCGATGTAGATACACAATAACGCATATAACATACAAGTTTATCATATTATCTCTCTAAAACTGTAAAACTAATGTCAAACATTTTTTTTCCAGGAAACATTTCGTTAGCTTTGAGAGAAAAAAACATTGTGTTAAAATAAATCATCTTTATATGACTCGGGATACATATGAGCGGAAAGTATGCTTAATAAACAACAGCGAAGGGACTTTTGCGTGACAAACGCAACTTAAACAATTACATAATTAAACCCCAGGAAACTTTCTCGCGGGGAGCGAAGGGCGATGCAGTTTTAAAACCGCGCAGCCGGAAGATGAATGCGACTTGGAGTGCTCTTCACCCGCGCGGTTCTTTATCCGTTAATCCCTCGACAGTTCGCGGATTGGCGCGAGTAGTTGTAAAAACAGCGGGACACCGGCGTGGAAAAATGTTGTAAGCGAGATTAAGCGAGAAGATTCCGAGAGAGTTGTGCACTTCCGCCGCGAGTCGCGGATGTGTCTCGCAAAATTAATATTTTCCTACCCTCGCGCGGCTCATAATGCAGCGCGCAAATATTGTTCCTACGCCCCGCGCGCGCACGGGATATCCCGCGCACCCTCGCGCGCGCGTCCTCAAAGGATGCCGAATTTCAAAGGACGAGAGGGAAAAGGGCGACGGAGAGACCGGGCCCGTGTCTTAATCTATCCGACCGAGTCCGGCGCGTTGTTCACGTGAGTTCCACAAAGGATTAGCGAGTAGTCGATTACGGTTCCCCGTAAATATTTGCCCGTTCCCGGATTCGGGCGAGAGCCCGACGATTTTTACGCTCCCTCTTTCACCCTTTGTAAAAAAAGGCCCTCAGCCCTTCCTTCGTGAGATCCGGTAAAAACCGATGCCACTCCGCGCGATCATTTTAT